CGCCCCGGCCCGCCCCGCACACCTCGGCCCGCCCCCGGCGAGCTGCGGGCGGCGGCGGGGCCGCTCCGTGCCCGCACAGGTGACACCGCGGCCCCGCCCGGTCCCTGCCCGGGGGCTCCACCGTGTCGCCGAGGGCAGGCCAGGGACCTGCGGCACCCCTGGGCTGTGCCCGGCCCGCCCACGAAGGAAACGCGGGGGAAAAACACGCGTTGGGCTCTGCTAGCACCGCGGCGGGTCGCTGAGAGGCGCGTTCAGTGCGGGTTTGTGACCCGCCCCCCGAGACAGCTCGGGAACACGCTTGAGGAGACGGGGCCAATCTAACATGACCCCTCTGCGTCGTTTACAGGTGCCAAACTGAATTTATTAGCTCTGCCTCAACAACCTGCGCAGCTGCAAACACGGTATTTTTACAGGATTATAGTTGTTGGGATGCGGCAGCGCATGCTGGCAGAAATAGCATTATTTGAGTTTGCACGAGGTGGATGAAGTAGTCACAGAAAATATTTTTAAAGTGTTGGATGTTGGCTGTAGTTATTTTAGTTTGTCTCCAGTGTACTCAGTCAGCAACTTCTGTTATGTATTTGCTGAGTATTGTTCACTAATTTAATGGCTTTCTTGTGGTGTGGGCAGATAGTTTTGTGTAAATTTTAAATAATTTTGCCTACAGCAGTTTTCAGTGGATAATGGTGGAATGTATTTATTTTAACCCAGGCATTCTTTCTCCTAACTTATCGGCTATCTTTATTCCTACTCAGGCCTTATCACAGAGGTATTTATTTATAATCCTTTCTTTGCAGGCATAATACTCTCCACAGAAAGGGAGGCCGAATAACGTGCACATGCCGAGTACTGGAAGGGAGGCTGAAGGACATCCTGTTTTGTTTCAGCAGTGTTGTTATTCTTTGGGGCGAAATGAAGAATTTGATTTTGTTTTGGAAACACTCATATTTCTGATGCAACTGAACTTCAGTAACCTTTTTGCAGTACAGATTTCAACAAATTATTTTTTCTCTCTTGGACAAAGATGCAGAACTTCTCGGTGGTAGAAAGTCTTGGTAATACAGACATACTACACTGTGAGCCTCCAAAAGACCTGGCAGCTGAGGCAGGTGGCGTGTCTCTCCATGAAAGTGGCTGTAACTGGAATGAAAGAACAAGCAATGAAGAAATATTTAATCTTGGAACAACGCAGCAAAGCCTCCCTGTAATGAACAGCGAAGGAAGAAGTTGTGAGGCGTTTTCTGAGAGCAGCTTTAGTACCTCGGAACCCAGCGGTTCCTGGGGTGATTTTGAAGGCTTCAGGGAGTCTTTAGACAAATCAGAGAGATTCAGTCATAACCTTGAAGTTTTAGTGAAGTCAGCAAAAACGTGGGGAGCCGACCCGGAGCTCGGCGGCGGAGGCTGCGGCGTTTCTGCTGCCCACGCGTGTGCTGAGCCATCATCTCTGTGCCCTGGGATGCAGGAGGCTGCTCTGGCTGAGGTACGTGTTCACAGCAAGGCAAGGAGCAGAAAGGTTTGTGTTGTGCTTCCAACACCTCCGGATTTGTGTCTGGCTTCTCTCTAGAGCGTAGAGCTGCACATGCAGAGAAACTGTGCAGCTACTTCGCTGCTACCTCAAGTGGAACAAAAGCAACTTCTTTACAGTGTTTGACAAAGACTTAAGCTGTCCTGCTGGAGAGCTTTAAAGAATGTAATGCACTATTTTGCCTCTAGGCACTAGGAATAAATAGGCAGATAGGTAAGTAAGCACGTAGGCACCATGAACCTTGCCCTGAAGGACATGAAGTGTAACATTTAGACAAGAAAGAGAGTAAGAAACAACAAATCAGGAAGGAGGACAGAAATTCTGTGAGTTGCCAGCAAACTTATTGAAGTAAACTCATGTGCCATTGAGATAGAAATTGGCAAAACCGATGTCTTTTGTTATTTAGTATACTCTCTGGATAATATCAACATTTGTCTGGAATTTTAGTGTGATGGTGACACACAAGACACTAGTAGAAATAATATAATTCATTTTTAGCACAGGATATAACATTTTCTCTTACAGTGTTAGAGCTAAAATTCTGAGTAAATAATGTAATGAATTCTTATCAGCACAAAAAAAAAAAAAAATGGATCAGGTAAAGAGTTATACATTTCTGGGACAAATGTGTTTCCATGTGGACCAAACATGCATCAGCAGAGAGAAGGAAAGTAACAAAAGGGCAGAAAGAATGTAGAAATACAGAACAAAATCCACTTGTTCTTACTGCTTTCCTCCTAAATGACAACATTTGAAAGAAGAGAACAATCAGCTAAGACTTCCATGGGGTTAATCTTTAGCAGTAATAACTTACTGCTTGTAGTCTGTTGGGTGAGTTTTACTATGTGTAGGGAACTGAGACTTTTCTGGAGACAGAAATTCTTGCCCTTTGCCTAGGAATTTTACTTGTTGCAGAGGTATTGCTAGTAAAAGCACAAAGATGCAGGTGGGAAAAGCTACTCATACTGATTGAATGTAGATACACAAAATACCTGGTTATTGGTGTGCACAAACAAAGAATTCAAATGTTTTGTAATGCTGGAAGTGGCGGACAAGAAGTCTTCTGTTGGAGAAAGAGAATGTTGTAATGACTGAAGCTGAAATGGGATATAGCAGGTTGCTTGGTTTCTTTCCAAAAGCAGTAGATCTTAATCTTACTGAAGCCTTTTCTTTATTTTGCATTTGTTAAAGGCAGAAGGAAATGCCCAGTACGAGTTAAATGAGTTAACCATGCTTAGAGTTTCAAGTTGTCTTTTCTCATCTCAAGGTAGATCCACAGAGCTGCTAGATATTCCTTGGAATGTAGAATATATGTGTAGCTTGTCCTTTAACCCTTTGCTTTTTGCATTGTTAATTTGAGATCATAAAATCTTTGCAGTCTGGCTTCTGTATGATCAATAGAAAAAAGGTCAGGTGGGTTGGAAGAGACCTCTAGAAATCATCTCAGGTCAGAGGTTTGACCTGAGATTTATTTATTTATTGCTTCAATTAATTAAATGACATCAACTGGGATCAGAATCATGTGTTTTAAGATGGAAACAATCATTAATTTCCTTGCACTAGCTGGGTATTTTGCCTACATGATTGAGCACTTTGAGGATTTTTCATGTTCTCTTTAAACACTGGCCTTCGAGAGAGAGACTGGTGCATGTGTTTAAGCCATGGGGTATTTTGATATAATAGGATACAGAGGATTTATTCAGAAAGTACTGATGTGAACCTTGTACACTGATTTTTTTATAATTAGTACAAAGCCACAGGATAAATGGAAATATACCCAAACTTTGTTTCAGAAACACTCACTGAAATAGACAGTAATAAAGGTAATAAAAAAATCTCTCAATCTGTCTTGGCTGAACTATAAGTCAGTGACTTGTATGTGTTGGAGCAGCACCAAGGCTCTCAGGAGATGCTGCAGCTGAGGCAGAGCTCTGCTTCCCAAGTTACTCCCTGGGGCTGTAACTTCCCCCATCCCAAAGCCAAGAGCAGCTGCCTGGCTTTTCCTTGACTTCCATCCCACTTCAGTTTTGGTGCCTACCTGGAAATTGTTTTTTCTTTCCTTGACTATGTATGCTTTAGCAAGTGTTACTTCACAGAGTTCTGATTCTCGAGCATCCCTCAGGATCCTCCATGTTGTATCCCTGTTGAAATAATTTACAAATTGGTTGAAAGTACTGTGACACTTTGGGCAAGATTCAAAGGAATTTACCCGGGAGTCTTTGAGTGTCCCAGCAGTGAATCACCAGGACAGGATTTTAGCAAGGCCCTGCTTCAGGAGGGAGCAGCATGGGGCACAAATTCTGTTTCTTGAAGCATGGTCAGGAGTGCAGAAGCCTTCTACCAGCTCTCTTGATTTTGCCCAGTTCTCCTTAGATATTCTCTCATTATTCACCCCACCTGTCTGAGTTCAGTAATGAGACTGTGGAAATATTTCAGCTGTTTGAATTACAATTAAATGAAACTATAGAAGTATGCAGTATCCATGCTTAGGGTTTTCAGACTAAATTGTTGATTGCTGGGCAAAAAGCCCAAACTGACTGGTTCAATTTTTGAGTTTTCACAGTGTTGCTGCTCCTGCATTGCAGTCCCTGGGCAGGGTGGCAAAGTCAATTAATTTGCTTTTATTTGGAAAACTGCAGTAATTCATTCCTTGAAGGAATAAAAGGATACAGCTTCTGAACCAGATGGCATGCCCCTAGGATAGGATGTAAATTATGCATGATTTTCCTTGTATATGTATTTCTCAGTTGTCAGATAACCCTACTTACTAGTGGTAACTTCCACTGGGCCTGTGTGGATCCCTTCTGTGCTGTGGTCAGTCTTCCAAACCTCCTGCTCATCATTGCTTCAGGAGGAACAAAGATTTAAATCTGGCTCTGATTTTTCACATAGGCTGGAAAAAGTTTGGTGCAAATGCAGGGATACAGAAACATCCTCACCCCGTCTTTTTTGCAGACTTGCACAGTGCAAGTATTTCTTGGTAACTGTAGCATTTGGCAGGTGTGTTACATTTGAATTAGGAGTGTTTGAATGCTGAGCTAGCAAAACAAGCTGTTGAACTGATACATCAGATTTGACCTGGACTGAATTAGCTGAGCAGAAGGAGGAGACCCAAGTGTTAAATATGCAAGTCTGTAACTGAGAAGCAGGGAAGTTAGATTCATCAAAAACTCTGGGACTCTTGCTTCCTCTAATTCCTCTAATTCAAAATACTCAAAACACTGAAATATGAGCTAATTGCCTCTGCTATTAATATTAAATTCTAAAAACAATAAAACAATCTCTAGAATTATTGTAATCTTTGGACTAGGTCTTTCATTAACTATGGGCATGGCTTGTATGATGTATGTAATAAAAAAATCTTTTTTCCTAGGAAGACCACAGCTATGTGGAGATATTTAAGTTGGGCTTTCCAGAAGTCTTTGTACCACAATCCAAGGAGTGCATAAGAAGCTTAGAGCAAGTTCTTGATGCAAATAATGAAGATGTTTGGATTCCTGAACTTTTGAAGAATCAACTTTGGTAATGAGTTTAGATTAACAGTTTAAAAAAAAAAAAAAAAAAAGGAAAGAAAAGGTTCCTCATCAATTACACTGTTTCATAATTTAGAAATCAGTTGTGCACTTAAAAACCTTTTAATACTATGCCTTTCAGTGTACAGATCTTACCAGTTTTGTAGCACGTTGTTAAAGGAAATGGATGGTGGTTTAGCCATTGGAAAACAATGAAGGGAATATATCAAAATTACAAATTCCTGCTTAGGGTTTTTCCTGCTGTTGGTGTGCCTCCTTATGACTAAGCCTCTGGAATGCCAGAACCCAACAGGCAGCCTGTTCTTCCTGTTTGCTTGTCCTTTCTTTACAGCACATCCCACTTATTTCTTCATCATTGGAAGCTGCTGCTTCTGCTAACAACTTGCTTTTTTTCCCTCCCCCCTCAGTTTTCCCAGTTGGTAACTTCTTCTCATGTTTAACTAGATGTGCTTCAGAACCTGTGGTGCATCTGGCTTCTTTCCTGGGTTATGTTAATAGCAATTAGTGTAATTAACTAAGCTTTTTCTTGCAACAGCTGGAACACTTCTAGCTCTGTTTCATGTTTTTTAGGGATGAGCAGCTTCAGAGCAGTTACTGAACAGCGTTGCAGTTATTTTTTCATAATTGGAGGCTTTGTGTCTAGAATTCAGTGTCAGAACCTACTTGAGGAATGTCCTAAGACTCAGAAGACATGTAGGTAAAACTTTTAATGTGGGCACCTTTCAGCCAAGTTCCCTGCATATGTGTTATATTTTAATCAGCATCAAACTTGTGGAGAAATATAATTGTAAAGGGGACGGCACTATTACAGCAGAGTGCCAGGTAAAACCAAAAATTTCCTGATCTACTGTGACGAGTAACTAAGGTAATGACAACTGCAAAACTCGGTAAAGCCCAAGTGAATTTTAAGTGTGATCAATGCAGTGTCAGAATCCAAAGCGCCATGTCAAGGGAGCTCTCTCGCACCTTTGGCTTGTTTTGTAGGACAGGGCTGCAGGGCTGAGTGTGACCTATGGGATGGAGAAAGACTTGAGAGAACAGAAAAGGCAAAGTGCAGAACTAACAGGGCTGAACTCTGCCCACATTTCACAGAAACAACTGAACACTGCGAGCTGCTGGCAGAAGCAGCCTCTGAGATGTGCTCCTAATGCCCTTCTTATCTGAGGAGCACAGACATTTCTGTGTCGCCCTGTTCTTTCAAAAGTTTTAAAGTTCTTCTGAAAGTTTTCTATACCTCTGATGTTTACATATTTCTATTGGAGTTTCTCACACATTGTCATGTAAATAATGATTGTTTTACATTCTTCTTTGTGGGAGGAGAGAATTGATGAACTGTTAAGTTTGACCAGTGTGGATGGAGGGGTGAAAATTTCATCCTCCAATCCACTGCCACTTTTAGAATTCTATATATTACAAGGTCAGAAATGAAGTTCCCTCCTTTTACTTCCTTTTACTCTTTTAATCTTAGAAGTATACATAAGTTATTTTTGGTCATAAATGACACTTCTGCTGACTCACTGCTTCCACTAATTGTCATGCCAGCTCATTATTGCATTGGGCTGGTAGTTTGGACAAGTGTAGAAAGAGTTTTAAGACAAGTTTCTTGTTAAATCAAGGTTAGTATACAGCTGTATGCAGTGAAAATAACTATTGCATATGTTCACTGGAAACCTCAGCTGAAAACCTGAAAAGTGTGTTTTGTTTCCTAGCATGGATTCTGGAAAGGTATGGAGAGCACTCAGAGATTTTGATGATGCCCCCAGCTCAAGACATCCCTGGAGTAAATCTCATTGCCAAGAAAAACTCTTGAGGGTTCTCGGAGTAGATGCAAATCAAAAGGTAATTGAACAATGGTTTTCCAATCTGCCAGCAGATACACTGGCTTGGGAATCTGATCTTCTGTAAGCTGTACATGCAGATGCATGCGGGACTAGATCTGGGTGAGTCACAAGGTTGTTGTTTTTTTTTTTTAACAGGGAGCCTTTAAGACAATAGCTTAGTGTTTTCTCATCTTCATGTGTAACTATGAAATTGTGCAGGATCACACTTTAATTGTCCTTACAGTGGAGTCTGCCTGACACAGTTCCCTGTTGTTAGGTGGTGCACCCAGCTTTGGTAGAGATGGAGAAGTAGCTTTCAGGTGGTAGAGATGGAGAACCAGCTCCCTGGTGTGTGTGCAGTAGGATTGTTTACTTTTTTTGCTCAGAGTGCATGAAAACTGCTAGCCTCTAACATCTATATTCACTTTCTGTTAAGTGAAAATCAGATCTGAATCAGAGGCTGTTACAGTAATTACAGGGTGATTTTACTGTGAAGAAACTGAAAGTGTGTTCAACTTCCCCTTTCCTCACATTATTCCTCTGTCTGTTTCTTGTAAGGCTTGAGGGAGAATATGTTCCAAATTGGATTGAAACCAAACCAGCAGTGTTGAAAGATCTCAAATAGAAATGTCTCTGTTTAACAATCTCTTGTTTTGAGAAGGTACACGTGTCAGGGATGGTTTAGAATTCAGTTATTTAGCTGGGATTAATTAGTCACATGTAATTTGCAGAAGTAACTATTTCAACAGATTATTTGAATGCTGAAACATGGGGTTGGCAAGGTAATGATTTTAGGGGTTTATTTGACTTTTCATGAAAGTTATATGCAAACAGAAGGATGGTGCTGAAGGTAAAAACCTATTTTGCACTTGAAAAAGTCACTTTGTAGAAGTGTAATTTAGCAGAGAAAGAATCAGACACATTTATCTAACATAACTAAACTCCCATTCTGTTCCATTCTTGCCCCCAGCATTAAATCAATGTCCATGCAGCTTAAACTTACATCATTACTTCTTATCTACTGGAAAACTGTATTGCTTTTAGCAAATCTGATTAAGAGGCATTTCTCAGCAATGCCTTGGTGCTAATTAAGGGCAATGCTAATTGGAAATTATTTTTTTAATTAAAAATGGGTTTTTATTAATTGAAGTCACAGATTGATATGTGTAGCTGATGCCTTGAGGGGCTACCTGGAACAGAGGCTAGACAGAGTTAGAGAATAAAGTAGGTATTTATTAAAATGCTTTCAAAGGATACTCCTTGGGCAGTGCAAAGCCTTGCACTGGCTACACCCAAGATGGACAATAGTCACCAGTTTTCTCAGACAGGTATAAGTTTGCATATCAGATGTTAATTGTATAATTATAGCTTCAGGTGATGAAGTCACGTTCCCCAGGTTTGATTCTCTCCCCAGTTTACTTTTATTTATACTTTTTGGGCCTGTGGCTGTGTTGACCTTGGTTCTGAGGCCTAAAAGGATTGTTGAGTCTGACCAAAATGTGAAGAAGGCTAACTAGCATTCTATACAGAGTTCAGAGTTGTACACTAATGTAGTACAGAATCTGAAAAATACAAAAGCTGAAATGTAAGGCATCATTTATAGAACTGGTTCTGCCATTAAATTGTTTTAATGCAAAGGGAGACACATGATAAAACACAGCTTCAGAAAGTAAAATTTAGTTGTTATTTGAGGGCAACTTCTCTTTATGTTGTATGCATTGAAATCAGAGAGAAATGCATCAATAAATTAATAAATAAAATGTAAATTATGGTTTTTTTAGGACGTTTCAGAAAACCAAGCTGATATTTTTGAAGAATCAAATGTCAAAGATGATGAGGACTTTAGATTTGATGGATTCAGTGTTAATGACTGCAAAACACTGATCCAGACCAAGGTAAGGGTTGCTCTGGAAGGGAGCACTTCAGAGAGCCACGGAGTGTATTCAGCATCTTCCTCCCTGCTGTTCTCATGTACTGGCTCTCATGCACATGTTCTCATGGAATGGCTTGGTGCTGGTACAACTTTTGCATGTGGAGTTGGTTTTTGGTCTTTTAAAACTCTCTGACTGCTTCAGCAAAGATACCTTGGCACTGGTTTGTTTCTTGTTGTAGCAATGCAAGTTGGAAGGAAAATTGTGTCATTCTCCATTGCTGTGAAACCCCTCAGTCACCTCACTCTGGTTTTTAGCAAGGTATTTTGGAGGAATAGACTTAAACCCAAAGTCCCTTCCTCAGTGCAGAATAAAACTGAGCAGCTGTTGTCACTGTAGAGACAGATAGTTTGAGGCACACTTTCATTGCTCTGTTTTGTTCTATTTCATGGCTTTTACAGTGAAGGTGTATAAATGTTTTGGGAACCTTTACATAAGAGATGATAGGCTGGAAAATTCAGAAATATAACTTAAAAAGACTGTCCAGCTTATTCCTTCATAACTCAGTTCTGCTTTCTTCAGTGAGTATATGATGGAGGGATCACAGTGGCTGAATCACACTGTAAATGTGTAAAATACAGGAACAGGGTTTAGACAAAGGAGAAGTGGTTTGAAGTAGACAAAAAAAGAATAAAAGAAAAAAGAATTGTGGTAAAAATTAAGGTAGAAGGACAATATTTTTGGGGGGATAGCCTCATAAGGGAAAGAACAAATCCTGCAGCTTGATATCTCAAAGAAAAATTAATTAAAAGACATAGGTTGCTATTTCTAATTTAAAGTAAGTAAAATCTTACAATAGGATGTTTTCCATTTATCTTCATATTTATGTTTTTTTCCATGTAAACAATTTAAAATTAATTTTTAAAATACTATTTTAATGAAAATTTATAAAAATTAGGTTGGCATATGCAAAGTGATTAACCTCCTATAGGATGGAAAAAATTAACTAAGTTTTCCTTTTTCACTCAGCTTTCTGTGCCACCGGACTCCAGACATGGTCACCTTTTCACCTGTAACCTCTTTCTGAAGACCACATCATCAAATGAAAACACACAGTATATAACAATCCCAAGGAAGAAACAGATTTTTTCTACACACAACCTAAAAATGAAATTTTTCAGTAGTGATGTTTGTTGAACTAAATGCAATTTTCAGCCTTTTTTTTTTCCTTCTTTTGGACGGATTGCAGTTTATCTTAATTTTGTTACTGACTTGGTACTACAGACCACAGACATTGTTTAGGAAGGTGATGTAATGCTGTATATGAGGGACCTAAGGCCACATTATTTGAAGACATTTCTCCTGTTTAGTTGTTAAGTCAAATTTTGTAATTTTGCCATGCTAAGTTTTGCTGCAGAGTTGTGTCTCTTACAGTAAATGCTGCAGCTGCAACCACGCTTCAAGATAACTCTGGTGGACTCTCCTGAACTGCTGACCTTTCAGACCTTAATGCCTTTTGGATCAAAACCCTTTTTCCCTGCCAAAATCCCACAAGTCTCAGGTGTGTTGTAAGGTGCCTTGTCACCATCTCTCCTCATTCTTGCTCCAGTTTGGATCAGCTGAGACCTGTGGCTTTGCCACTGCTGGGTGTGATGAGAAGAGCCTTTCTTCATTTGGGGACTTTCAGTGGGGTTTAGAAGAATAAAAGTGGTTTAATTTCTGTCTGGTAAAGCCTGCTGGGGTGAAGCAGCAAAATGCTTCATTCTGGGATTGATTTCTGGCTGAAATAAATCACCTTGTTGAAGCTGATTGTCACAGGACACGTTGGGTTCATTCAGCCACGCTTACTCCACGCTTACCCTGCTCGTATAAGCTCAGCAGTGTTGCAGTTCAGGACTTGAATAATGGTGTAAATTCCTGCCCTTTTCAAATTTTATGGCAACTATTGACTGTTGCCCATCTTCCTGAATGCCTGAGTGCCGCAGGGGATGCACTTCACTGTCACTCAGGAGAATCCGTGCTGGTTCCCTGCCAACTGCAACAGCTTTATTTATTCATTGGCAGTAACTTTTACACAAGTTACTGATCTATTTCCTGCTCTGGCCATTCTGAATATGAAAATTGTATATGGCTTTTTGTTTTAAAGAGTTGCTAAGCATGGCAACTGATATTTTATGTGTTGAAAGCAGCGAACAAAGTTAGGTGTTCCGAAACTAAGTCAGTTAATTATTTAATTAGTTAAACACATCAGTTAATGATGTGCATATTCTGTTCTTAGAATTAAGAATACTATAAAGCACTGGCAGACTTCAACCCTTAATCTAGTAAACTATTCAGCAGTGACATAACAGTTGTTGCAATAATTTCGGTAATGCTGATGATACCTCAGTGTTCTTAGCATGGGATGAACTCTGTCCTGCTTACTCAGTAGATGGAACAGGGCATTTGGAAAAATGTTCTTTTAAAGTGGCTCTGCAGCTTCCCTGGCCCTGGAGGGAGTCCTACAATGCCAAACTAGAAACTTCATCTGTATACAAGAACAGGATTAACTTTTTCAGTTAACCTAGATTTGAATAAATTTTCAGTTTCCCTTATATTCTTTCAGAGCTCATAAACATGTATTAAATAGGTTGTAGTCATAAGCTCACAAAATGTTAAATTGTCATTAAATGGTGAATGAACAGCTGAGGTTAGTAATAAACATTATTAAAATCAATTATAAGATTAAAATCCCATTTTTATGTTTCCAGACAAGCAGAGGCCTGCAGAGGGGCTTAAGGGGGCAACTGATAGTGTGTGTAACATTCACTGATACACCAGACCCTCTTTTCCTCTGGGCTTTCAACTTTGCCTTTGCTTTTGTGAGCACTGGATGAATGTATGGAAAAATGTGTTGCGCTGTTACCCTGGGAGAAGGACGAATACGTCATCTTTCCCTCACATTAGCAGGTTTTACAGCCCTGTCCAAGGTACAGAATGGAAAGAAAAAAGGGTTCAGCCCTTGTGATTCAGCAGGGAAATGAACTACTGGAGTTCAAAGGTGATGGGCTCCACCTTCCAGGTCTTTCTCTTTTGGACAGGTGCTTTGGGCCACCTGAGCCCTCACTACCCGTAAGGCTGCGTCAGACAAATGAGGGACCTTGTAACTCCCATTTCCAACCTGAGATAAACAAATTCACCATTCCAGGGGAAAAGACTAGCAAAATTGGAGCAGCAAGATAATTCAATTCAGCTCCAAGGCTGGGCAGTTCTGGTAACCCTCCAGCCCCCGTGGAAATTTGGACACAACCGGCACATTTGGGGTACCCACAAAGACAAAACCAGACTCTCTCAACCGACAAAAGATCAGGGGACAAACCATAGGGACATTTTCAGGCATATTTCGTAGCAACGAATGAATTTAGAATTCAGCCTCGCCTCCCGTGGTTATCGTGGGAGCTGTGACACGTTCTGCACGAGCAGCGGCCGCTCTTGCCGTGAGCCACTTCCGCGCTCCGCTGTCCCTGGCCGCCAGCCCGGGGTGCCAGCACCGCCGTGTCCCCACGGCCGCTCCAGAGGCACCCCGAGCCTGAGCTCTGGGAGTGGCACGCTGAGGAAATATCACTCTGTACTCAACAGTTTAAAGATACAAATTTCACCGTTTCTTAGTTCAGCTGTGAAATCCTGAGTTTTGGTGAACTGACCGTGTTGCTGTACTCGGCGTTTGCGGAAAGCAAATACTGCAGACTTCTGACATTTGTTTAGGGTTTTGAAAAGGTGACAGTGAGAGCAAGGCAGGAGATCTGCACAGCAGCACGAGGCAGGAATGCCTCTTTCTTCTGCTGGGATTAGAGGGAAAATAGACCCACAGAACAAAGTTTTACAAAGTTCCAATCAGCAGGGTGACTACTGAAATGCTTCCTTTGTGGAAGGAATGCTGTAAATGTTCTTCAGACAAAACCCCCTCAAACCAACTTCATTGTGAAAGACTGAAAAATTTTCAATGCATATTCTAAAATGTAGAATTTCATTAATAATAATAATTTAAAAAATAGTCAAAGAGGGGGGACAGTCAAGGATTTCTAACCATACTATAAGCCCCCCATTGGTTGCATATGCAGAAGCTGGAGTAAAAAACAAAAAAAATAAATTTTGTAAATTTTTTTTTTTTTTTCAAAATGCAAGGTCATTGCAGGATTTAAAAGCACTCTGGTGGTTTTTAATTATGAAGATCAGCTTTAATAGTTTAAAAAATGGGACTTCCTGGAGTATGCCTGCTCCAGTTAAGACAGCAAAGGGAATTGGGCTGCCAACTGAGCTACCTGCAAATTAATTGTGAACCCCCAAATTTCCCTGTGGATCAAAGTTTAACTTTCCAGATCCACTCTGGAAGATTCAAAAGAGAAAAAGTTTTTGCTCCTTCTACTGAAATATGTCTGAGAACCTCCTATATTACCTCCCACAGCACAGCTTGGATGCCAGAGCACAGCCAGCCTGGCTTAGTGCTCTGCTGGGTGGGATAAGCAGGCCCTGATGAGGAAAAAATGTATGGAATGAAGTTGCAACATTTTTAGCTTTTTTAGTCGAGGCAAGATGCCTGTGAATGCTGGGCAAATCCTGAAATGCCAAAAATCCTCCAGCTTCCCCAAACCTACTTTATTAACACTTCTACATACACTTCTGCATCTTCAGAGCTCAGTGCCTCACTTCTAACATTGAACAGCTCAAAATTCGTTTTGCCACTAATTTATAACTCATCTTCCTCACAGAACTAATGGATAGGTTATTTAACTTTGTGTATTTTACTGTAGCTTGTGCTGGAAAATTACTCTTCTAAAGTGTCCCTTCCAGCACACAGATTGCAGAGCTGGACAGAGCACCCAGCCCTCCCCAGGCAGCTGTTTGCAGCAGCGCTGCACTGAGCTGTGCTGCTCTGAATGCTTTTAAGTTCAGATCTTTCAGCGTGGCTAAAACCGATTCAAGTGTATGAAAGCCTACACCACTGAAAGCTTCAAAAATATTTTCTTAAAACACTGAAGTGCAGCACACCCTGGAAAGGCAGTGTTTTCTGCTGCCACAGGCACAGGCTCAGCTCCGTGCTGCAGCTTCCTCAGGAACAAGTCACTCCAAGAGCTGATGGCACGGGGGTCACACCACCGGGTTTCTGTGCAGTTCCCAGACCTGCGCTTTTCACACTGTGGTCAGCAGGTTCCATGACAAAGGGAAATCTGTAAGCAGCAGCCAGTGCAGTCTCATCAGTGAAAGTTATGCATCAATCTAGATTATATGTTTTTTCCCCTTAAAGTGGAGGGAACTTGATGTAATTCTTAAAATGGCACATAAAGAGGCTTGTTTCTATTTAAATGCCTAAAAATGAGGGTAAGTGGCAATTCTGCCTCCATTCAAACCTTATAAGTTCATTGCAGAAGAGTTAGGATCTTATTTTAGAGGTCTACAACAGGAAGAGGATGAAAGCCTCTAAAGCTGAAGCTGCTGGTTTTATTTGTACAAGCAGCCTTTTGCTAGCCCAGAGTGGCAGGGCTTTGGTCCAGCCTGACAAGCACACAGGTCTGAAAAGTCACTGCTGTGTGCGTCAAGGACACTTGTGACACTTGCTTTGAGGCACAGCAGCCCCTGAAGGGACACTGAGAACTGCAGGGGCTGGGAGCAGCTCATGGAGCACTGGAGACAAAGCCCAGAGGACACAGCTCAATGCCAAATTCCTGTGGCACCTGCTCCCAACAGGAATCCCCCCTCCCCACCGGCTGGAAAAACGCCCTGTGGGCCACCCCTGCTCTGGTTACAAAGGGGATGTGAGGGTGCAGTGCTTTTCAGTGAAAACTCAGCCAGAGCAAAGCTGCAGCTTGCGTAGCTGAAGTAGAGAAAACCTGTGGATTGTGGTAAATGAGTGTAACATTATTAGAAGATTCCAAATTCCAGACTCAGGCTCCCAGGGCTGGGAGGATGAGATGCTGTGTAAGAAAACAAGCACTAAACAATGGAGCAGCAAACACCATGAAGACCCCCAGACCTTCTTATTACTAATAGTCTGAATTATTACTGTTAGAGGCATAAGTGCCCAGGAATTTCAGTGTTCACAGTCCCTCTTTGGAGGCACCCAGCTCAAGCTGTGGTGCTTTCCTAAAGGAATCCATCCTTCAGGGTATGTGGAAACCTCATGGGGAACCCTGTTATGGGGCCCGGCATACGTAATTTCTGTACAGGTTTGTAAGGTATTTATTATTTCTAGGGATAAAGGATGGGGGGAGAGGGGGCATGTGGAGAAGGAAAAAAGATACAAATGCCTAGGGAAAATGCCATGTCTTTGTGAGTGAAAGACCAAAGAAAAGGTGGCAGGGTGCCACAGATTTTTTTATGCTTTGTTTTTAAAAAAGTCACATACCAACAGCTCCAAAATATAACTGGTTTAAATGCAAAACTGTGGCTTTTATTTCCAAACATACAATAAATAGGTCCACCACAACTAGCCTCTAACTTAATTTTACATGGAAGGATTTTAAAGTTAATTTGTGCATATTTAAAAATTAAACTTCCCTTTGCACATAATTCCAAACATAACCAAACTGCATTACACACCAGCTCATGGTCTTGGCACTGTGACACAAGCAACCAATTAGAAACAGAGCTCTGTAGCCAGCACTTGTACAAAAATTGCATTTTGAATTGTTGATAAAAGATCTACCAACAATTAAATCTTTTGCTGCAGTATACAAAAAACTTTAGTACATAAATGTTGAAAAGCAAGTTGTCTTCTCTTCTGTTTCTGTAGAGACTGCAAAGTAAGTGGATTTATTAAGTGTTCACTATTTGCTATATGATACAATTTTCATACCAAAATATCTTTACTGCATAGTAACATTCCATATTTTCAAATGCAAAAAGAGATTAGATGCAGTCTTTTTATTTTATCCCTCATCACTGAATTTAAAGACATTTTTAACCGCATCTCTGTTTCATCACAGTGCAGAAGGCCCTTAATATTTCAAGGATTTATTCAGTCATATTTTTAATACAAAAGTAGAGGCTGAGGAAAAGCCAGAGTAGTCTATACACAATGCACAATCTGTGTACATTCTGAAGCTGTACCTCTTCAAGAACTAGCTATACACTCTTCAAACAAATCCCTTTATCCAGCAATTCAAAATGCTTTAGATCAGAAATTTTATATTAGAATCAATACAATATATGCATATAAATACATTTATACCCTTCAGTTGCTAAACAACCCGGATGGCTGCGAGGATGTGACCTGAAATGGTTCTCCATTGGCCTGGGATACCAAATTATGTCGGCAGCTAACTGTTAACCAAGAGAGTCACAGTAAAAAATGGAGATCTCTGCACAAGGTAGGTGTGCCACAGCATCAGTTAAGACTAGAAATACCAGGTGACACCCTGGCCCCTTCAACAGGGCCAGGATTTCAACTTCTGTGAGATGCAACACACAGGCAACATTTTTTCCCTCTGCCGACACTCCATTCATAGAAAGTCTCAGCAGAACAACAAAAATCAAAAAAAAACAACAAACCAAAGCAAAGATTTTACAACTGCAAGTTTCCAAGACAGGTGCTGCATCTTTCAAGAACAAAGTAAAAGTTTTATAATTAAAAAAAGAAGGAAAAAAAAGAAAAACAAAATCCAAACCAAAAAAAAGCAGTGTGCAAGTGTGAAACTCGGAAGCCGATAGCAGGGATCGATCGAGACCTCGGTTCAGGCTGAAACACAGAACCCAAACTGCCTGATGGAAAACCAGTTCTCACTGCAAATCTCATCTCCAGCTGAGCAGGATGTTTGTGTATCTGCATAAAAACACCCCCGCCCCACCCAGGACAGCCTGGGGCAGCAGCTCTGGGGTTCCAAAGCCCAGGTGGCCCCAGCCCCGGGGAGGGACAGAGCCACCAGCCCTGGCTCCCCACAGCCCCACGGGTGCTCCAGGGCTGTCACAGCAGAGGGTGACGAGTTCTCAGTGCTCTCAGCTGGGCTTCTGAAAGGATGAAGAAATGGTGGCTGAGTATCCTCCAAAGGTGCTAGAGGTTTTAAGTTTGAAGCGTTTCTTCCCACAATGCCAGGTATACAAATGTGTATCTCTTTAAATAATATTGCACATAAAAATCATCTTAAAATTTGTAGTGAAAACAGGGTTGAAGGACAGTGTTTTCCAAAAGAGAATAAAAAGCTACCTGTACATAGTAAATTTTAATTTAAAGAACGCCAAGATTATTCAAAATCTAAGCACATAATACTGACAGAAAAATGTTAAATTGCACAATCTACATATAAATTAATTTGTAAATACTTAAAAGTTTTTAAACATTGAATACCCTTGATTTCACAAATCAGCAAGGTCACTGTCAAAGGATCAACTTAATGAGTTAGAAGTACTTTCCCCCAGAAAGAAACAGAAACAAAAAGATTTGCAGTCTCAGATGAAGCACTGGAAAGAGTTAAAGCATTTCAGCTCAGAGGTAGTGCTAAACACATCCAACTAGAAGTCCATTATATTTGAACTATGATGAAATAACGTAGTAAAATGTAGAAAGACTATAAAATTTACAAAAATAAATAGTTCTGAATGCTTTAGAAAATGCAAGAGACTTTGTTGGTAAGTGTCTTGATCTGCTTTTCTGACCAAAAGAAAGCAAAGCGTGTCTCATTTTTAAAATATACCCATCTCTAAGAACGTGTCTGCAATCCACACAATCTAACTCTGCAACTTGACAGATGCCAGCCTGGCATAGACTCTGATATTAAAAATAAAGTGGAGGCTTTTTAAAAGATCACCTCGTATGAAATTTGCTTTGCATGTAAATTCTTCTGTCAAATTAAAAATTGCACATAAAAAAGTTTATTGAAAGAGGCATGAGGGGTGATGAGGGTATGTGCCCATTGTTCCACATACACCCTGGAAGGAAAATTATGATTGCACAGTTCTGATAAATAATTTTTCTTTTTAAAAATCTGCCACTTTTTTGGTTTGTAAGTTTTGGAATTATTCAGAAAACTCTACTATGGACAAATTATTATTTAGTTTGCTTTTTAAAGAATTCTTTACAGCTATTCCAGTGGCTTTTATCCTGAAACCAAATCAAGTGGCAGTCTAAAAGTATCTTTGGGTAAAACAAGTATCAGGATCCAACGAGAATTTCCATTATGTGGTCCAACTCACTCAGATCTGTTCTACATATCTGAATGTTGTTTGCTGAAGAAGAATTACAAGATGGGAAGGTTTTCAATGGTTCTTCTGTAGCAAGAGATGGTGATCTGGGCGGCATCAGGGGAGGGCAACAGAAGTCTGAATCATACATTGAAGTGTCAATATCTTCAAAAATGTCATCTATTGCCAAATCCTTCAAGTAACTGGTTGAATTTGAAATCTCAAAGGAACCAAACACACATTCAGCTCCCTTCAAATCCTGTCTGTCATCTTCTAGTTTCAGACCAGTATTTTCTGGAAACTTTGGCTGGTCATCTCCAGTAGAAACCAGACAAGTAGGTGGGCTGATATCTTCTACAAAGTCTAAATCCTTCAGAATAGACGAAATAGCAGATGACATGTCATCGTCTGAAACGATCAGCAGGCTGTTTTCAATCGGGTCTTCTACAGACCGCAGCTCACAGCAGTGAGACTCCTGCTGACCAACTCCTGAAGGCAACTGAAGGGACATCCCAGGAGACTCCAGCCCTGTGTAGCTGTGAGAAGCAGGAGCAATGCCAGGGCAGATATTCACTGGCTGCTGGTTGCTCTCTTGTCTCATCTCCTCCTGGATCTGCCGCACGGTGTTGGCGATGAGCACGGAGCGGTGCAGGTTGGGCTCCACCAGCATTTTGTACGTCTGCAGCTTGGTGAGGCACATGTTGAGCACCAGCTGCCGCTTGAGCGGGTAGGGCAGACCTCGACTGGAATCAAAGGCACTCGAGAGACCAGCCATGCTCTCCTCATAGTCACTCAGCTTGCGCTTTAGGCCTCTCCCCAACATGAACCTGCAAGACAAAAATCCTCAATTAACCCTGGGCAGGCCCAACAGACAATGCTGAGAACCCTGTAGTGTACAATGTATTGGTTAGCTGAGACTTTTGATGTCACAGAACATCAAGAGATAGAAAGGAATCCTACACAATAGTACTTCCATTGAAAATATGCATTTTCCAGCTATATTGTTTCATGGCAACCTTTTTCCTAAACAGAAAACATGGAAGAAATATACTAACTCTTTTTAAAAAAAACTATATACTTCTAAGTATATCTGTGTCCACATGAAATAAAATAGATGCTTGTATACTCTACAGAATATTTAATCATTGCCATTTTAGCATTCATTCTTAGGTACAGCAGGTAAGATTTCAAGCTAGTTTTCAACACTCATTTTGATCTCATTAAGTCATTCTAATGTCTTGCTCAGTGTCTCTGAGAACATACATAGAATTCTATGTAGGACTGATTCTTCTCTTTTTTCTTTGGTGACCCAAAACTGTTTTACAGCAAGACCAACAGCAGGACCTCCCATGACGTCCTTAGATCCATTCCACAGCTTGGTAGTTTGGTTAAATGTGGGAGGAAATCTGGCTGGGCCACTGAGCTCACAGAGAGACAATGGGTTCACAACCTGCTACTGACTTCATACTAAGAACACCAGGCAGGAAGCCATCAATCAGCAATTTAAAAGCGACCAAATTTGGTAAAATTGTTATGAAAAAAAAATAGAATTTAGTTGCTTTCACTCTGCTTTGTGTGCTCTTGCACTGAAATACATTAGGTCTAGAACAAAGTGGTATAAAAACCTGTACACACAGTTCTAAAATATAAGTGAGTTAAACAAATATCTGCTCGGGTACTTTGCAATTACAATCCCAAGTCTAAAGAGTTTTATTAGGGACAACAAGCCCTATGCAATCTCTCATATAAACTCACAAAAGGAGTACACTCTGCACAGAAAACTGGTAAAATATTAGTCACACACATCCTAAAGTGTCCATGAATACAGACACCTTGTTCCCAAACTATTAAAAAAAATTAAACAATCATACATTAGACACCAGTGGCAGATGAAGGGCAGATCCTTCATGCACAATGATCCAAACCCTGCATGCTGCTGAGGGCCTCCCAACTTCCTTTTCATGTGAGCACTGGATGCTGCCAGCAATAGCTCAGCTGATGGCCGCAGCTGCCAGCTGCTAGCCTGTTGCTAGACTTTTGGGAACAAGGAGAAGGCAGCAGGATAAAGCCTCTTTTACTTTCAGGATTTCTCCAGATTTGCAGGGCTCTAAGGCTATGTCCATCTGCCTAGACAAGGCTGCTGGAGAACTCAGCTCCTCTGAAGGAACAGAAAGCAAGCAGTGCATCCTCCTCAGCAAGACACACAGACAGATGCTACAGGACTTCAGGTGTCAGACTTCTCAACAGTAGATGTTTTGGTTTTGGTTGTTGTTTTGTTTTTTTTTTAAGGACATATCTGGATGAAATTCAGTTTGTCCTAGGACTGCATTTTTACTTAGCAAGGAGTATTCTGGTCTATATTCATTAACATAGTCATTCTTGAAACAGCAACAAACTTTAATTACTTGTAATCTTACCACTTCTGCAACTTTTCAACTCTGTTTTTCTCCAAAGCTTTCTGCTAAAGTGCCACAGCACCAGCTGAATCTCTTTAAAAGCCAGAGGGTGTCTGGAAGTGGTGTACATGTTCACCTGGGTCATCATCCTACACTGATCATTTATCACTCTCCCACTCCAGCATCCCATTAAGGGCAAACAGACCCAGCCAGTACCGAGCACTCCAAGACAACAAAATCAGAACAAATCTGGATACAGAGTTTAGGCACAAAATATAAAAGTATTTTGGGGAGGCAGTGTGTGTGTGTCAAGGATCCTCAAACTACTGACAATACTGTCAGTTAACTGATAATTTTTGACACAGTCTATGGAAAATCACATTTATGCAGGACAAGTAGACCGCAGCAAATATACTGACTCTCGTTGTGAAAACAATAATTTATGCAAATCATAAACTCACAATAAAATTGTGAACTCTCCATTTCAAATACCATTTAAGTGTTGCGTACTACCTCAAGCACTACTTCAGAGCATGACTCTAAGAACAAAAATTACGCATCAAAACAGCTGTTTTTTCACTAAGCACCATCATTCCCATACACTGCACACTAGTGGGGTTTGTTTGTTTTTCTCTCAATTAATTAAACAGACCAAAATTTACACCCATGAGGGAATGAAGATATGACCACACAGGAAATAGCAATTCTGACATATCATACATTCAGAATGCTTCGTTTTGATAATTTACTACTTTTAGTATTTTTTTAAAACACACATTTATACTTCGTTAGACACACAGGGCATACTATTGTAATCTCTTTGAATTATAAAAATTATGTTAATTCCTAACATCTCAAAAATGTGCTAGTATTTAATTCTGTAAGCAAGCTTAAAGAGCAAGCAGGCTATGATATGCAAGGATGTATAATTTCACAGAAACAACTGAATATGACATGTATTATTTTTCAATTCAAATGGTAGTCTCGTTAGACGAAATACTTCATGCTCATATAGGCAGACCCCCCCTCTTTTAATTACTCAAATTTCCTTCATAAAGTTTGTCCCAGAGCATTTTAGAAATACGTAACAATGCTTGAGCATGACAGCACTTGACTGTAAAAGTGAAGTGCAAGAAACACTATTTGCTCCAACTTCAAAATATTTCTACTTAACATACTCCCCACTCCCAAGATGTATGTTTAAAATAAACAAACACAGTACTACCTTATATTTTAGAAATTCTGTCTAACACTGATTTATTTCCTAACAAGAAGGATCCCCTACTCTCCCTCCTGGAGCTAGATAACTTCAGAGGTTAGACAAAAATTTGGAAAAGTCTAACAAAAACCAGAGTACCATTGGTACAGTGGATTTAAAAATGACTAGTGTCATGGTTGCTACAGGAGACATTAAATTTCAGTTCTTGTCAAACACACTCAGCTGCTGACCTACAAAAGACACAAAGCCCCTTTGTTAGCAGCTAATCTACATTTTATCAGGCCTTTTACTTTACTTTCTAACACAAGAATTTCTGATGGGATCAGATCCTTAACAAACAACTGTATATTTTCTAACTAGCTTGCTCTTCTATAGCACTGCAATTTACACCCCATCCCAAACCCAAAATTCAGTCAGATGCTGTTTCACAGAATTACTTTGCAGAAGATGATGATGGCATTATTTAATTATGCAGTGCTTATTCCACTTCAATTTTTGGTAGCAAGGCAAACGAGCAGCCGTGCACACACAAACCCCCAGAGCAGTGTCAGCCCTTCCATCAGCTGACACGAGGGCACAGCCAGCACAGAGCAGCACAATCTGGGCACACTAAAGCACAGTCTCCAGAAACTGCACTTTTCTTCAGCCTTATTCCAGGAACCTACTCACATCTCAAAAAACTGGGTCAACTAACAGGATTTTGGGATGTGCTAATCTGATAACTCTGTAATTTGTAAGTAAATAAACTGAATAAAAATTAAAAGTTTATGGCAACTTCAAATGTGAGGTCTCCACATAGATGTTCAACCATAAAAGCAGCAAGCCCTAAGTCACCCTTTTCTTGAACTTGAAAAAGTTCACAACAAAGATTTTTCTTCCATTCAGATGATCTATTTTAAAATCTGTTGTCATAAAAAAACAGTAACAATGAGAAGCAACACATCACAACTTTTTTCCTGGCATCTTCTCATCCTATCTCATTATAGTAATGCAAACTGAGCCACAGGCCGTTTACAGCAGAATGCTTTTTTAATTAAAATAATTTTTCAGACATAGAGAAAAGGAAGCAAAGTGAACTCAGTATTTGGGAGTACCAAACTCTCTATTCACATCACTGAACTTCAATGGAGTCTATGTAGAAATTCTACCCTGACACCATATTCCTCAGTTCCTTCCAGTCCTCCATGGAGGACATTTCACTGCAACTCCTCCCTGCTAAGATGGGAAGAAGCATCCAAGCACTGTAATCCTACACCATACCAGGGTTTGAAAAAACTTGGGAGGGAAGAAGCACGTCTCTGGTTGGCAAATCCACACAAGACCAAACAAACAGGCCTGGTCAGGGTGCAGCTACTCAGAAGAAACATTCCAGGCTACCAAGAAAAATTCACATTGCAACGTGTTGTGGACAATACAGGGCCCGTGCCACCATTTCAGCTCCATCTGTCACACGGTCTGACAGTGCAGCTGCCACTGACACATGGTGGGGAAGTGCAGCTGGGAACACTCTCAAGGAATAACGCAACATGTGAAAACCCTCAATTACTTCTATCTGGGCAAACTACTATTAAAAACTTTTTTTGGAATATATGGGAAAACTAAAGAGAAAAGTTAAACAATGTTTAGAACTCAGGACCTAACAGAGGTTTAATTTTCAGTGGAGAAAAGTTTAAAAAATAATGAGTATATCAAACACAACTGCCACAGTTAGTATCACCAGAATATGAACTTTTCATGCTCAAAACAAGCACTGCATTAAACTACACAACAGATATTTATTTACCACTAAATATGTTTAAATAGCAAGATAATAAAGTACCTGGCCTTCACTATCCAGGTAAAGACAACTGAATTCAGAGTGGTTCCTTTTGGCTTTTCTTTTTAGAATATTATTGAATTCAAACTTGCTTGATCCTTTCTGTACAGTTACACTGCTGTATTTTTCAGCCCAAGACTGCCTCAAAGTGAAATACTTTTTTTTTGTTTTTTTTTTTAAGGACAAAAATACCAGCTTTGGAGGTGTGTAAGCTTTCACTCATGAGTGAAAACTGCCTGTCCAGTTTGCAGTAAAGCAACTTATGTATTAAAATCAAAATTAAGAGACTCCTTGCTATTGTAATTTGGTCATATCCCTCTCAAAGTCTCCTTTGTCTCGTAACTGTAGAACCCATGTAAGAGTAAAGACAGGCAGACTCTCTGGGCTGTAGACTTGTGCTAGTGACTGACCAAGGCTGGCTGATAACCTGGTGCTCTGCTCACCCCTCTCTTCATTGACACATCTCACAAGCACACATCTATCTGCAGGAAGTGCAAAGCAAGACAAACACCCCAACAGTTACAGCTGTTCCCCAGAATTATTTGATGTATGCTGTACACTATTTTTAATGCTAATCCTTCCCCTACCTGACAGACATTTTTAGGCAACACAACTTCACAAGCAGTTTTAATTAAGTGCTGGACTGGCTATTGGCTTGTATTTCATGTAGAAGAAAGTGCACAAGGAAATGGAAAGGCTGAAGGTGCAGTTAACAGACACAGCACAAATCCCTTCCTCCCATCCAGGCTTAGGGCTGATCACTTGGCCATGCCTTACATAACAGTGTAAGCTGTCAGAGCACACACAACATCTCTGATCTGGGGTCCACAGCGAGTGCCAGAGATCCCCACACTACATCTTGGCTGTCACCCTGAGCAAGTGAGGGAAGGACTGAATGCCTTAGGAAACACCAAATGAAAGAAGTTTAGACCTGAGGATACTTCCACAAATACAAAAGTGTGTATAAGCCCATTGCCTCCCCACCCCCCCTCAGCCCTGCCCCAGTTTAGCCAAGATGAGTAACTGCTGGAGAAGGCACAAGTGACTAAAAGTGTGCATACAGGGAGGAGTGCAGCCCTACCAGCTCACTCCCATACCTAACCTCCTATGCAACAACTTCTTCACAGGAGTCACAAATTAGCAGAAAATGGCTGCTCAAAGAAAGACATAATGTCAACTTTTAGGTCAACAAATCCTGACCAACGTGCCCACAGTCTGGTACAAAGCAAGAGGAACACAGAACCAAGATATGCTACTGTTCAGATTCAAGAAACCCCAACAAAAACAACAAACCCAAAAACAAACACACACACAACTCTGGAAACAAAACAAAAAAAACCCACACCTAAGGATTTCCCTACATTTTGAAAGTAAGACTAGCCTGAGTAGCATTCATTAGGAAAGGAATGAGAAGAAGACAGTTTAGTACAGAATTATTCTGGAATTAATGCTCCTACTGTCATTCACTATGTGTGGAAGTAGAAAATAAACCTGTATCATACACAAATATTTTAGGAGCTGAAACGATGTTTAGGAAGCACTTGGAAGTAAGTTTTACTTTGATTTAAAAGTTAGTTTGAAACCCCCCACAACAACCTATTTATGTTATGTCTACTGGGATCTGGAAAATTCCTGCACTTAAGGACATCTTTCAAAGTTCCTTACTCCCATTTCATTTCACAAAGCACTGATAAGAGCTTTCTTCACAAACTATGGCAGCTGAGTTTCAGAGCATGGCATTTCACTCTGGAGAAGGAACTCCTCTGTTAGGATCTGTACCTTCCACAGCTATAAGAAGTGGGTTCCAGTGCTCAGTAGAGAGAAACTTCCACCCATAAAAAACCCCAAACTAAACCACAATCATTCTTGTCTGTCACTTGTATATCTTGTTCCACATTTATTAATAAAGCTCATGTGTATACTTTTAATGAGAGTGTGTTTAGCAAGGTTTTTTAGGTATTTTGGGTGGATTTTTTTTTAATGGAAGAAGGGCCTGGAATAATTCAAACTAAGAATCAATACTAGTTGGCAAAAGCTAATACATAATCAAGAGTTACTAAACCTAGAAACTCCCATAGTAAAACTAAACTATAATTAAATGAGAATGTAAGACTCATAAAGGAAACAAGAAGAACCAAACCACCATGGTTCCACCAAAGCATCTCACTGGAGAGACAAAGGATCATTAGAGCTGCAAATGCAATGACAGACCTCTGCACAGCTTGTTCCAGTCAACTGAACAGTTCTCAATCCCACATTTGCTTCAAACAGAAATACTAGGTGCATTTCCCTACATAACACTGACACATGTTTTAGGGTTACAATGATCTAAAAATCTACTAATAAAGGAAGTTACAGCTTATTAAATATTAAAAATTGGCACGCCCATACTTTAACAGAAAAAAATGGACTATTAACAGTAAAAGAAAACAAGGGAAAAAAAGCTCTTTTCCTGGTAGAGGACTGTGCATTTATTCTTTCACTAACCAAATCAGAAATAATTGAATTTTCTCTTGTAGCACGCAACTTCATTTGAATATCCAAAGTGCCACCTTGTCACAAGACAAAACTGCAACACACAATTTTAGCAGCTGAAGAGTGGATCTTACCATAAGACTGAAGTCTTAGTTAGGCAATTTCCAAGATGAATGTGATCTTAAGGTATTGCATTGTAACAATATCCCCTTATCAAGGAAAAAATAGTAAAAGAAATTCAAAATACTCAAACCAAAGAGTTTTTACCTCGCTTTATATTATATATCCCATTTTTAAAAGACATATTTCAGTTTACCATTCTAATTCATATATAACATCTGTAGCCCATTATCAGAACATGTCCTATGCATGTAAGACACAATTTCATAAAAACATAAAAGTAGTTACCCTTAGAAAACAGAAAGGAGTCCAGGCAGGAAGATTCTGGATTTTGCATAAAGTGTGGTCATCCAAAAGTCTCGAACTATCCCAGAGGCCAAGCCATCCACCGAGGTAGGATGATGCGACTTAAGAGGAAAAACAAAATCAGAGTATTTAATTACTGTGTGGTGGCTTTTATTTTTTTTTAGCTCAGAAGCATTAAGCACACAATTCAACACAACTTTTTAAATTATTTGTGGTAAATTCTATAAAAGCAGATAAATATGGGTTAAACCCCTGAATTCATGAATACACTGAAATAAGAGGACCTAACAGTTTTACCTGTGAACACATAAAATGTAGAAATTATCTTTCATAAATGAGTATTGCAGAATGCTGATCCTCTAAGCGTTAGGCTTTAGGATAAGGACTTGCCCTGCTACTTCCTCAGGTTATAGAACACCAATTTACAATGTAATCATCTCTAAAATTACATAATCAGGACAGAATACCATGCATTGTGAAGAACTACATTTCAGAATTATCCCCTAATGCTTACAGGCTACAAAAGCAGTTAGATTTTTATTTAATTCCCCAACTTTCCTCCTTTTCAGCATACACAAAACCAGTATGAGAAGTCAGCTGACAAGGTGTCCTACGATTGTGTCTAATGTTCAGTGTGGCACCATTTCCATCAAAGCCCTGATACAGCAATATCTGCAGTATGGCTAGAGACCACATGGATTAAATTATGTATTAGCTGAAAGTATTGGTAACTGGACAATGTGAAAAGGCTGAAGTGACAACAAACTATGGGCTAGGCTAGGAAATGTGGAGGGAATTGCATGATCCATGCTCTTGAGGTCTCACCCCCACCTGGAGAAGCAAAGAGTAATGAATTCCAAGAATTAAAGGCCTTGCAGGGGCTAACAGCCTGCAGCCAGGATTGGATGTGACATGCCTGTTTGTGCACATCACACACACAGACACCTGACCCAGCCTCACAAATGCACCGCAGGAGCAAGGATCAGCACTAGCTGCACACACACAGTCCTTCGTGATCAAAAATCAAGAGTTCATACATTACTTCACAAATCTTAAAATAATACATAGTGAAAGGCAATCTTACATTCAGACAGACGGGCAAGTAAACGCCTACAGTTCATCTTACATAGCAACTCATAGCCTGATGCTACCAAAGGGCTCCTCCGCTTACAGAACCTCGGAACTGTAAAAATGCAGTAAAACAGCAGTAAAATGCCCGTGACCTAAGCAAGCCAAATCTAACCCACAGCAACAAACACGTTAACATCTCCCTCCTCCTCCTCCTAGAAGCTGCCTTCTTTCCCACTATAATGATATCCATGCTATCTGTAAGTAAATAGGAAAAAAAAAAGCCCCAAACAAAGAGACAAATGAAGATTCATAACCTATTTGCTCTGAAACAGCAGGACTTCAGATGGTCACTATTGAGGTTCATTTAAAGTGTACTTGTCAGGTCACAGGGAGAGGTGTGCAGTCACTGCATTTTCTATATACTGAATATAAAAACACATGTTTTAGAGTTTTAGGATTCTTTAATGCTAAAACAACGTCACAAAGCTAGCAAGCATAGTAAAATGTTGAAGAGTTTTAGATTTCAGCACCTTATCTACAAAACCCCAAACCCAACAAAATTAGAAGCACTGGATAAAAAAAATAGTACTGTTACTTGTGTTTTAGAAGTCCAATATTTTGCTAGAAGGAGATGAAGTCAATAAGTTTTCAAATTTAATTTCTTTATTAGATATTTCAAAGGATTCCTGCAAAAGTAACTGTGGAGGTTTTGACTTTTGCCCTGTATGATTTCTGTGCACACTGGGTTAAATGTCAAGAAGAAGTACAGAAGTAAGATTATTAGGTTTACTTTTTACAATCTGTTAGGGAAAAAAAAAAACAACCATAGAAGACACAGTAGTTGCAAATCACTATGAATTATATCTCTTTTGTGGATTTCTTTTTGTCTTCCCTTCCTGTGTTTAGGGGTCACTTTAGAATTTTGAGATCACAGCATCATTTCAATTTTTATGGTATTTCCCACACTGCAGTTACCTGCCTGAATTACAGAATTTTAGCCACATCAAAAATAAAGTGGAAAACTACAGCATAAGGCTTCCACCTATGCTTTTAGAAACGAGCATTCCAGCAGAGTTTGAAGAATTCCAGGCCTAACTAGGGCGGAAATTATTAACTGCACCTATTTGCGAGCTTAATCTGCAATATGCATAGAGACCAATCTTATGATCCTCCAGTCCTATCCACCTGCTCGCAGCCCCGACTAACACGCGTTTATTAAGGCGAACAAAACCTGCTATTTAAAAATGTAACCGCAGCTTACACATTAAGTCGCAACCAGCGAGCGGCAGCGATGGGGAGCGCCAGGCTGGAGCCGCCGGGGTTCAGGGAAAGCCCTTTCCTGCCGGGATTCAGGGAAAGCCCTTTCCTGCCGGGATTCAGGGAAAGCCCTTTCCTGCCGGGGTTCAGGGAAAGCCCTTTCCTGCCGCGCTCCCGCAGCCGCTCCCGCGGCTCCTGCCACCATTTGGCCTTTGTGGAAGGAGCGCCGGTGCTTCCTGCGGGCGTCCCGCCCCCGCCGCGGCCGTGGGCAGCGGTAACCAGAGACAACCTTGGGCTTCCCGAGCTGCGAAAAGTTACACTCCTCCCCCTTCCTCCGCCCGGCTCGCCCAGACCCCGGCCGGGCTAATTATAACTGCGCGAACAACTTCCACCGCCGGCCGCGCTCCGGCCGCTCCCCCCGCGGCTCCCCGGGGCCGCCGCGCCCGCACCCGGCGCCGCCGTGCCCGGCCCCAGCGCGGCGCCCCGGGCCGCCCCGCACCGCCCGCCCCACCTGTCCCCGCGGTGCCCTCCTCCCCACCGCACCGCCGGGTGCCCCCCCGCCCCTCACCGGCAGAGCTCCCCCGCCCCGCCGGGGCTCCCGCCGCCCCCGCCTCGGCCTCCCGCCGTCACCCCGCGACCGCCGCTGCCCGCCCGCTGCCCGCGGCTGCCAGCCCCGCGCCCTCCCGGCCGGCGCCTCACCTGGGAGCGGAGGAAGCCGCGTTCCCTCGCAGCCGGCCGCGCTCCCTCCCTCCGGCGGGGCTGGACTCGGCCGGGAGGAGGCGGAGGCGGCGCCACCCCCGCCGGGCCCCGGCAGCCTCCGCTCCGCCCTTCCCTCCGCCCGCCGCTCCCGCGGGGGCGCTGCGTGCGCCGCGCGCGCCAGCTGCCCGCCCTCCCATTGGCCCGCGGCCCTTTCAACCTGCCCGGCAACCATTTTCTGACTGGCCGGCGAGCCGGGGGGCGGGGCTACAGTTGGTCCCGCGGCGCCGCCCAATGAGAGAGCCGGGAGAGCCGAGGGGCGGGGCTGCGCGCCGGCCTCGCCCAATGGGGACGCGGGCGCCGCCGAGTCCCGCGTTCCGCGGCGCGGCGCTCCGGGCCCGGCCCCGCCCGCGCCGCCGGGATGGCGGAGCGGCCGCGCAGGGCTCGGCTCCGCGCAGCGCCGCCGGGATGGCGG